ATTAATTCATATTTATTATAAATCCAACTGGATCGAAGTATCCAAAATAACCCCCATTTAATATTACTGAAAATTACCATATTATATTATTATGGAAAATCAATTATTTTTTTTTAATATGCAAATCTCCTTAATATTTCCCCATATCAGGTCATTTTAGTTTCAATTTTTATTTTTCTCTATTATTTTTTAAAGGTTTTTTTTATTTCAATTTAAAACAAAAAATGGTTTTTTTTTTATTTTCGGTTTTTTATTTTAAATTATTTTTTTATTTATATTTTTCATATTTCTCATTTTAATTTTTTAAAAATAATTTTTTTTCCGTTTTTTTAATGGTTTTTGTTTCTTAATTTCCATTTTTTTAAATTGTTTTTTTGATTTTTTTTTCCCAGATTTTTTGAATAAAAAAATGTTTTGTTTAATTATTTTTTTATTAATCTTTTTCTTTCAATTAAAAAAATTAATTTTTTTTTAATATTTAAAACAAATCCAGCAGGGTTATCAAAGTGGAATCCACTATACAGTTATCCAAATCTGCTATATTTTTTTTGAAAATCACTATAAATGTATCGAAACCCACTACGAACTAGTCGAAGTCCACTATAAATTTGTTGAAAACCTCCATAAATTTATCGAAACACACTACGAAGTTGTCGAAATCCACTATAAACTTATTGAAATTCAGTATTAATTTGTTGAAATCCAGTATAAACATATCGAAATCCACTATAAGTTTGTTGAGATCTACTACAAATTTATCGAAATCCACTATAAATTTATCGAAATTCACTACAAATTAGTCGAAATCCGTGTATAGTGGATTCCACTTTGATAAACCTCCTGGATTATTTTTTAATATTAAAAAATAATTTAATCAAAATATAAAAAAAATTAATAAAAAATAATTTAACAAAACATATTTTTATTCCAAAAAGCTGGAAAAAAAATTTAAAAAAAAAAATCGAAAGTAAGAAAAAACCCATTAAAAAACGAAAAATAAACATAAGACATTTTTTTAAAAAATCAAAATGAAAAACATGAAAAATATAAATAAGAAAAAGGTTAATTTAAAATAAAGGGCAAATGGCAAATAGACCCATGACAAGGGCACTTAATTAAAAGAGGGACATCCAACTTTTTTGTTTTTCAAATAAATCCAACCCATTCAAACTTATTTGCAAATAAGGAAAATCCCTTTATATATACCAAAATTACACCCAATTCATTGAAACGCAATTCAACTCCAATTTCATGATTTATACCCCAATTTAGCTCAATTTCATCAATTAACCAATTTTAACCATAATTTCAATTTTGACCCCAATTTTGACCCGCCACCACCGGAGACCGCCGGTCTCCGGCGTTGACTTTTTTTTTTTTTTCTTTTTTGAAAAAAAAAATTCCCCTGAATTTCTTTTCCGGCCGGTCAACTGCCGTTGACCGGCGGGTCTCCGGCGTTGACTTTTTTTTATTTTTATAATTATGTTTTTTCTTAAAAAAAATATTTTAATTAATATTACTGTCTTGGCTGCTAAATTACTGTCTCCGGCAGTTATTTAACTGTCTCCAAATTTAACTGTTAATTGACTTCTTTTTTTTTTCTTCTTCAAAAATATTTTAATTAATATTACTCTCTTTGCTACTAAATTACTATCTCCAGCAGTTATTTAGCAGTTATTTAACTGTCGGAGAGAGTAATTTAACTGTTAATTGACTTTTTTATTCTTAAAAAAAATATTTTTAATTAATATTACTGTATTCGTTGCTAAATTAGTGTCTCCAGCAGTTATTTAACTGTCGGAGATAGTAATTTAACTGTTAATTGACTTTTTTATTCTTAAAAAAATATTTTTAATTAATATTACTGTATTCGTTGCTAAATTACTGTCTCCAGCAGTTATTTAACTGTCGGGAGACAGTAATTTAACTGTTAATTGACTTTTTTTTTAATTTTTTTTTCTTAAAAAAAATTATTTTAATTAATATTACTGCCTTGGCTGCTAAATTACTGTCTCCAACAGTAATTTAACGGTCTTAGACAATAATATTACTGTTCGGGAAAATAATATTCATAATATTACTGTCCCAAACAGTAATATTACTGTCTGAGACAGTAATTTAGTAGTCAAGATAGTAATATTAATTAAAATATTTTTTTTCTAAGAAAAAAAAATTCAAAAAAAAAAAAGAAAGTCAACGCCGGAGACCGGCGGTCAACGGTGGTTGACCGGCCGGAAAAAAATTTCAGGAAAAAAAAAAAAAAAAAAAAAAAAGGTAAACGCCGGAATCTGACCGGAAAAAAAATTATTTTCTGAAAAAAAAAAATTGGGGGTTAATGTGATATATTTGTTTAAATCCGGGGTCAATGTGTAATATTAAGGAAGTTAGAGCATAATGGGTGGAATTGATAAGAATTATATTATGGAGGGTATTTTAGACTAAAGACATGGGGATGGATTTAATTGAGAGACTGTTTTTTTTTTGTGGACCAAAATGCATTTAAGTCTCATGTGATGGACATTTTTGCCATTCGCCCTAAAATAAAAGCCGAAAACGAAAATAAAACAAAACTAATAAATAATCAATTTATGTTTTAATCGAAATAAAGAAAATCATTAAAAAACAAAAAGGAAAAGGAAAAACAGAAATTGACGTGAGATGAGGAGAAATTAGAGGGATTTGCATATTTTAAAAAAAATGGATTTTCCATAATAATTGCCAATTGATATAAGGGTGTAATAGTGAAATTTGATTATTTTTTATTAATTAAAATTTTGAATTCACCTTAAAATTTTGATTTTTTTTTTTTTTTTTTTTTTTTTTTTTTTTGCTGATTGTAACTATACATGTTTAATGAGGGAGGCTTGTCAATTTTCCCTAATTTATTTGAATATGTGGGATACACAATACGACATAAAAAAAGAACCCGTTCCCCAATATCAGGTAGATGCAGTATTTATTTGGTAGATATTATTCACCAAAAGGGTAGATGGCTAGATGCAATATTTATTTGGTAGATATTATTCAACAAAAGGAATCAACATCCATGAATTATGAACTTTGTAAATAACCATGAGTAGTCTTAAACTTGGCCAACATGATTTTATATCATTTAATTCATTTATCAATGAACAAATTATTTGTTGGTTACTATGTCGGGGAGATTTCAAATAATGAATATAATCGTAGCTCATAAGTAATATTTGAGAATATAGGCTGGAGTGTAATAACTATTTGATTCTGAAAATTATGATTATTTATAACCAGTTAAATTAATTCTTTGTGAAATTAGAATTTATTTAGATTGTTTGAAGTTTGACCCATTTTTTTCCCGTATTAATGGATTATTTAATTAATAAAAAATAATTCAACCAAAAAGATAATGTAAGGGACATGGCCGAATTTTCTCTTCTTTGGAGAGGAAGAAATCGTCCATAAGGTGTGACGGGAGTGTGGGTAAATTTCATCGAGTTTAGTTCTAATATAACTCTTTCAACTCACATACCAATTTATATCCATCTACTGATAATTGGTAGTGAACTTTTGAAAATTGGTGGAAAATGTACTTCTGAATTGATGAAATATACTAGTGAATTTTGTAAATCGGCCGAGATTTAGCAATAAACTTTTAAAATTGATAGGTGAGTAGTTTATGTAATTTTGCAAACAACTTTTCGCAAATTGGCTAAGAATTAGCAGTGAACTTTCGAATGTAAGTTAAAAATTGACGGTGAATATTCAAAAATTAACTTAGTGAACGTTTGAAAAGGAGGACAAAAACTTAACAATCTTCAAGCTCGAGGGAAAGTATTGTAGAAGAACATGCATGGGCACATCATGTGAACAATGCGAAGGAATTTTTAGCTAGCAAATGTAGAAGTCGTTCGTTCAGCAAATGTTTTTTTTTTTTTTTTTTTTATCAATCTAGGTTAAGGTAGACACCATGAACAAGAAGAATGTAACCGAAATAGACAACTAGCACTTTCATTCTTTTGGAATTACTCTTGCTAAGTTCATCAAAAAGCACTTTAGCGGCCTCATTATTGATCAGTGAACCGCACGCACGCGCATGGTAACCCTCACATTACGATTGTTTGCTAATAATATATTATGAACTTTTAGGGTGCATTTGGATGGAGGGATTTCAAATCCATAATAACAAATCCCTTGGACTTGTTTGGATTGAGGGATTTGGAGATGGATTTCAAATCCCCACCCCTCCTTTTTAGTTGTTTTTATACATCACGAACCTTGGCAGACTACTCTTGTGCACAGAGTTTGCAGGTTTTTCTTCAAGAGTGGAAAGCTGGGGATTTTATCTACATTGTGACCCAAAACCTAATCAGTACAGATCAAATACTATATACAGTTAAACCTCTATAAATTAATACAGTTGGGATCATCAAAATTTCATTAATTTAGCGAAATATTAACTTATCGATAAATTAATAATTATTAATTTATACATTAATTAATAACTTATTAATTTATGAAATTACTTTTATTATTATTTTCAATAAATACGTTTTTTTTTTAAATTACGTGTATATTATTCATTGTACCATTAGTTCAATGCACTATAGAGCCCGTTTCACGAGCGGAAGCTCTTAAAGCAGCGATGATATAGAACGATTTTATGTTGAGTTATGAGAAAACTATACCGAAAGTTCTAACCATATTAAAAAGAGTAAGGGACGAGATTGATGGTAATGTGAAATTCAACAAGAAACAAGGGACAATTAAATTATATATTATTAAACTTTCATAGATCTACAAAATATGTATTGTACCATGTAATTTAAGAATTATTTTTATGCATTATTAATTTATATATTATATGGGGCTTCTTAAAATTTTCGAATGTGTATTATCTTATAAATTTAGCGAATTATTAATTTAGCACGTTGTCCCCGAGTCGGGACCGGGAAAATTTATTATTTAAGCGAGGTTATTAATTTATCGGGTATTAATTTATCGAGGTTCTACTGTATACATACATATAGCTTCAAACACCAAAATAATTATTCGCTCTTCTTGTTCCACAGTGGAAAGCACGAGGACTAAGAATGATGCTACTACACCAGAAACAAAATGGTAGAAAATTATCTATGTACAGAGAGTGGAGAAATCCAATGGAACTTGACTGGCTGCATGCTTCTCATTACAATAGAAAATGACTCTCAAATCTTCACGGCCTTTCACAATCTGATCGAACCCACCCAATTTTCTCCTTCACATTATCATATACAAATAGTAAACCACGTAGCGATATATCTGCAAAGGCCAGTAAATATCTATCAGTGAACACAAACTAAAAGAAAATTAAGTCGAATTTGGAAGGAATCTCCCACTAGATTATTGATCTTGCATACCTCCAAGTACAAAAGTGGATCCGTCATGTACTTGCCTTCCATTAAGAATTCCCAAGCAGACGTTACCCTTTCTCTGCAGCAAAAACAAGTCTTGCATTGATTTTAGAAATGACGTAGCGATTCTTGTAACTAATATATGGAAGAAGATAGATACTTACATTCGTCACTAAGTAACCTTCAGGAGGAATTTGAAGCTTTGTGGATAAGATCCACCACTTGCTCCCAAATTGAAGATTGATAGGCTTGAATAAATGCCTGACATCTTTCACGGATCTAAAAGGATAAGTTATTGGATGGTTACTCTCATAATCCATAATAAAGATAAAGCACATAACATAGTTCTAGCTGTTGAAATAGCAATTTGGACAGCACAAAACTATACGAGTATTTTACATCTAATAACAAAAAAAACATAGATACATGATTAAACTGCAAAATGACAGCTTCTATTCAAACTGAGGTACATAAGTTGAGAATAGTACACATTTCTCACTAGTAATTCTTTACAAAATGGAATTAGGAAATAATATGCCACACAAACCAATGCACATATGTTACCTTAAAGGGGATTTGGCTCGCCAGCAAATGGGCAATGAAGTATCGGACATGTCACGGACAAGGCTATCGCTGGAAATATCATTAAGCTGAAATCACATGTTAATTAAAAGATAGAAGCAGATCTCTTTTAAAACCACCCTAAGAGAGTATATAAATGCTTACCATATTGACCAGATCATTATACGCTTGTTCTGTAAAGTACGTATAAGAGCTGCCAGTATCAAAAATTAAACCTCCTTGTCCTTTTCCAATGTTGCCTAGTGTAATTTGTTTGCTTCCGTAACTCACCTTCAACAGTTCCGTGTGATAAGAATTCCTGGACATCAAATGTAATCGTGGTTTAAAAACTAGGTCTCGCTTAAATGAAACAGCAATCGTGAAAATCAAGAAACAAAGAGTAAATTCACAAGTAATGTTTCATTTAAAACTAGAACTTGTTCAGGGGTGCAGGATCAAGTCGCATATTAAATTATAAAGCTTCCAACAGTTTAAACTCGAACATTTTTTTGGCAGAGCAAAATGATAATGCTTAATAAAAGAATTTGAAAGATTCTCAGAGAGTTAAACACTGTGGTTACGATTTGACTTATCACAAACAATAACCTCAACTGTATAGAACAAACAATATCAAATAAATTAGAAAGGCATTTTCAAATTGAAGACTCACAAATCACGGGATTGAAGCATGGGGACCCACGCCATCTGCGAGTGAGGCACAAAATCATCACCTAAGAACATATAACCGCCACCATTGTTGTCGGAGGCAAGGCAATGTCCTAAAACATTTTTAATGATACCTTGTCTTGCCAATTGAGAAGGCAGACTGATTTTGGCTCTGCTAAGTCCAAGGATTCCATCTGTCTTTCCCAATGTGTTCAAAAGTAAGCCTTGCTGGTCATATGCACAACTGACATTCACCAACCAAACCATAGAATATAAAGATCAACATCTTAAGAACATAATACTATATACTCAGGCCACGATTCAATAATATAATATTACCCGAAAACAACTTTAGACTTTGCCAAAGATCCGTTTGCAATGTTAAGGTGCAACTCATCCCTTGCAAGCACCCCCATGGAGGAGCTGTGATCTGCATATTCTATCTCGTAATCACATTGGAGGCAAGAGTCACACTCTTTGGTCTTTTCATTTCTTTGAATTTCGGAACAGTAAGAATCTTTAGGTGGTATTATGTTTGCTTTTACTGGCTTGTAAAAAGGATGAGCTCCCTACAATACATTTATCATTTAACTCTTGTTATTACAATGCAACCAACTCAAATAATGGGAAACTCAAGAAAACCTACTTATTTCATACAAAAAACAGACACATCATAGCCACATTTGCAGTACATAACTTAATGATATATAACTAAACAAATTGGAAATACTTGTTTGGTGATTTTTGTCGACCAAATACCCTGTTCCAAGGAAAACTGTCGATTTAGACTGCAATACAAACTGTGAACTCTTTCTCCTTTCTTCCATGTTGTGGTTATAATGATAGAAACGGTTGTTTTCTATTCATGTAGTCCTAATAAACAGCAAAAGAAAAAGGGCTATAATTATTTTTCTAAAAATAGACCTATTTTACCATTTATGGCATTCCAGTTTTCCATTTTATGATCATAGTTATTGATGCAGCAGCTTTGTTAGCGATCCATGTTAAGCAGAAGAAATTTTACCTTAGCACAACTAGTGCATGGAGCATCACACTGAATCCATGTTAACCCACTTCCAGTATCCATATCGAGGAAAAAAGGCCTTGGAGGATCTCCGAAAAGCAAGTATGTGTAATACAGCCTGCAATAGAAGATGCATCACAAAAAGAATCTAGTAATTTGAAATGAATCTTATCATTCTATGAAGATAATAAGTAATTTGCTCACCTCCAAAAGCAAAAGACAACAAGCAATACAGCACATTAAACACTAAACTAATTATCAACAGAAATCGAGAAATAAGATTTAATACTAAAGAAATTCAATGCAGACTTCACAGATACACATGGATGCATTATCCAGCAAACAATTAGCTAAGTAATCGACATACCCGTCAGGATAGATATTACCCCGGACAGGTATAACATTAGTAGCATCAATTTTGGAAGCAGTAGCATCGGCCAATTTGGGATTAATATTTCCACCAATCAATGTATCATTGATTCCCTCCGAAATCGGTCGATAATCAACTCCTAATCCCAATTTAAGCTCAGATTTTGCCAAATCACTATTGCTCGAATAAGGCTTCTGATACAAGGGGAAAATAAATGTATGCTCAGACTTGGAGTTGTTATTCTGAGAATCATTATCGTTTGGGAGTTCGTCGCGCAGTTGAAATAGGGTTTGTTGAGGAACTGAGGCCCAAAGACACATGGCAATAAGAGAAACGCACAGAATCGGCACGATTTTTGGGCTATTATGGACGAAACTTCTGAAGGAAGAGAGAGATTGAGGGGGGGCAGGATCCTGGGGTGGAAGATGAAGCGGCGTTTGGATGGGTGATTGGGGCGGAGGAGGAGTAGGTGTTTGATGATCGGAGAGAGTGAAAGCAGTAATGGTTTTGCCGTAAGAAGGGTTGTCCGGTGGGGGTAGACTGATTATCACTATGCCTGTAAGTTGAGGATTAGACCCCTCCTCCTCCTCCATCACAATTCAAATTCAAAGCTTGTGTGTGTGTGTGTGTGTGTGAATTCCTTCTCTCTCTCTCTCTCACACGCACCTGTGCGTTCAGGAGGAAGAAGGAGAATATGAATTGGACGACTCTCTCTATTTGATTTCCTTCATTCAAAGTCAACAATGGAGATGCATAATAAATAAACATAAATAAGGCATAAACCCAGTCAGTAGACTAGTTGAGCAGAGAAGATATCCACCGTGTTTCGTGTCATTTTCGTTTACAAAATTAAAATATATTTATTTCTTTATTTATAGGTACTTGTTTTTTACGGTTTGAAAATTACTAAACAATTTGAAAATTGCTATTTACGGTTCATTACAAAAAACCTAGGTTTTTTTGTCTCTCTATAAAAAGAACCTCTCAAAAGCTTTAGAAGGAATTTGCTTAAAAATCATTCTTATTGGTGTGATATACACGAACACAAATGAGCTCATCGGATGAAGATCGGGATACCCAACATAACGAGGTAAAAATTCCGTCTTTTCGATCGAAAAAACTGAGCAAAACGCGTAAGAGCCCAACTTGGACGCCCATTCATGCTGTGCACGCTCAAGTTGGGCGTGCACTTGGCTGCTCCACGCCCATTTCGAGCGCGCAGCAGCCAACTGCATGCCCAACTTGGGCGTGCACTGCATGAATGGGCGCCCGAGTTGGGTGTCCAGTTCAAATTTTTAATCAATTTTTTTACGCTTTTTTCAGGACAATACGTCTACAATTGAAGTTGATCATACCGATTATTTTACAAAAAAATTGATTTTTGGCTTAACTATGAAACTTTCGAAAATTTGGGAAAAAATGCATAACTTGCTTATTTGGTTTAATTAGTGTCTTGCATGTGTTAATCTAGTGTTTGATTGTTGATTTGTGAACAAAAATTGATTTTTGGCTTAACTATGAAACTTTCGAATTTTTGAGGTAAAGTTGCTTAAATTACTTCTTTGGTTTATTTGGTATCTTGCATGTTGTTAATCTAGTGTTTGATTGTTGATTTAAGGCCTTGCATGTTAAGATCTGGTGTTTCTATGAAGAATGATGAAAGAATTAAGAATTTGTGCTAACTTGATGAAAATACTCTTTTATGTTAAGATCTAGTGGAATTACTTGAATAAAATGTAAAGATGAAAGTCTTGAACTTTATTCTTGTAAAATGTTAGATTTAATGAACTCTTGATTATAGATTGTCTTTGCATGTTAAGATTTCGGTTATTGCTTGTATTTGTGTTTTTGCTATATGATCTTGCTTGTTTATGTGTTGATCATTGGGTGTGAGGATGAGAAAGGGGTAGGGTGCATGTGTGGGTGCATAAGTGTCATAATTTTTAAATGGTAAAAATATGTTGGGAAATCTTTCGAGGTTACGGTAAATAACCGGGGTACGACGAGTCGGTACCGTAGGGCCTAGGGGTGGTTTGATTCCACGTAGATAAACGGATTCGTAAAATATGAGGTTATTTATCGGGAACTTAGATTGATTCTTCCAAAGGGATTCCCGATGATTTTTCATGTCATGCATGTCTCATTAGGGTGTTGAAGATATGGGTGCGAAAACTCACTCTATGGTCTTGGGATCGCAGGGTTATAAAGGTGGGAGATTCTCACTCTATAATCTTCAATACGTGTCATGACATAGGGTTATAAAGGTGGGATATCCTCACTCTATAGTCTTGGGATCATAGTGTTATAAAAGTGGGAATTTATCTCACTCTATGCGCTTGACAATTCTATAACGAAGAGCGCCGACGAAAAATGGAAGTATATGATTGCTTTAATTTATGTTGCATGTATATGTACAATAAATATATATGTATATATATGTATGTTTTATGTGTTATGTGTATTCGATAATACTACAAGATTCTCATTGAGTTCTCAAAGGCTCATATAGGTGTTGTATGTTTGTAGTTATACCCGATTTGGAGCTCGAGGAGTGAAGTTGGGAATCGAGCTTGAGAATCGGGAGGAGCTCATATGGAGGGGTTGTGGATTGGGATGGCTCTTAACCCAGTCATGTGGTTTTATTTGTATAACATGCTTGTAAAAACTTTTGATACGGTATTAGGTATTACCGATTGCTTCCTCCAATCGGTGGAAATTATTAAAATATAATATGTGTAATAGTAATTAGGATTACCCTCTTTTGGATAATTAAATTGGTAATCCGTATTATTTCGTAAACGAAAGAGAATTTTTCCAACTATATGCATGCATGCTTTTCGGCTAGTAATTTCTTCATGTCTTGTCTCGATGTTTGAAAATTGTTCTCATATAGGTGCTCTGCTTAGAAAATCATGAAATTTTGGGAGTCTCTGCATCTCTCTGTTCTCATAATTTTGGTAGGTCTTTTACATGAATTGGGTAATTATTTAATTAGTTATGAATTATTTCTCACTTCTGCACTAAAACAGGGTCAGTCTGTTATTTTATGTTATAACTGGAGTTTTACTCACTCAAATGCCTTTTTTCCTCTTGGAAAATGTTTTAAAATTATTTTTCTACCTTGGGATAAAATTTGATAATTTTTGGATCCGTGAGGAATTTATTGGAAAATTTCAAAACTCCCTCCCCTGTTCTGGATTTTAAATTGAGTGTATGTGTCATTTTATTTATTTCTCCCAAATGGTCAAGCTTGCTTATTTTAAAACTGTTTTAATTGAGTGATTTAGACCCGTAGGAGATGGTATGGTATTATTTTAGAGTCATTTGCATGAGTAGTTTAATATGAATTAATTTTTAAATTTGTTGCACTGAATCTGTCCGAATTTTCATTAGGTCCATCATACCTAGTTGTTTTCTAGTCTTGCATGTAGTATGTATTTGTGTCAATTGATTGATTAGGGTTTAGTATAGGGTGACCTCTCTCCCTTTGATTTAAAAAGAATTTCTTTTTACGTAAATTTATATCCACAATAATCATTTTTGAAAAAAAGTCTTCCGTTGAGATTACATATAATAAGAGTAATCGAGAGAGAGGGGTGTCACGTGGTATGTGCATATCGCATGATTATACAATTGGACAACATGGAAATAATAATTAATTATTATATGCTCAACGACATGTCCAACATTGTTGACACTATTTATTGGAATCTTGCTCAACGACATGTTCAGTTTGGTTACACGCAGCAAGTCTTGAAACGATGAATATGAGAGATTTTTTTGGAAAAGAACGATTGTGAGAAGATGGGAATGTGAGAAAAAGAAAGAAAAAAAAAGGGTGAAGATTGAAAAGGAGAGAGATAGAGGGGAATTGTATTAGATCAAAATTAATTAGATAATAAAAAGGTAAATGGATTTGAACCATGATCCAATTGATGGCCTTCCACAAGTAGAATCGATTTGAACCATGATCCAATTGATGGCCCGATTTTATGGCCGGTTCAAAAATATTGCTTAGAGCATCTTCCAACCTAATCACTATTTTTTCACCAAATTCTATTTTTTGTGGTGAAAAAATGGGTTTATCTCCCACCCTTAACATACAATTGGGAACATTGTAATTTTGGTCCTATATGTTGGTCTCTTTAGAGATCTAGTTCTATAAGTTGTCATATTTCAATTTTACATGCAATAATTATGCAAAATTAGTCATATTTCACTCGAACTTTGAATTATAACCGTCGTTTAACGATATACCTAACAAACCAGTAGAAATTTATTTATATGGACACTTAAAAATTATAAATGCTCCTCTAATTTAATTTATAGACGAGTCGTCTCACATAATTAAAGTCTACAAATGGTAAGTTACATGTTGAATTTATAAATTTCCAAGCGTCCATATAACTAAAATGCGTCAAGTTTATTTGTAGCGTCATAAAATTAAAAATCATGCAAAATAGGATTAAAAATACTATATTTGAATAGTTATTGCATGTAAAGCTGAAACATGACAAGTTAGATGACTAAATTCCTAAATAGGCCATCATAGAGGACCAAAACTATAATTTTTCCGCACACCATTCTATAATTTCACTAATTTTGGTGAAGAAATAATGCATTTGGTTTCCCACCAATTCCATCAAACTTTACACTAAATAATAAAATAATAATATTTCACAATTTTCCTATTTATTGAGAATAGCATTTAGTTTGGTCTCCCATGGTATTTCACAAAATTATAAATTTAATGTTAATCATAATTATAATCTATTTTAATTTTAAAAATATTGATTATAGATCCGATTATAAGTAATAATTTTATTGATTATATAATCTTAGAATTATATTAGATTTTAAAAAACTATTGAAACATGAATGGAAATCAACGTAAATTATTATACATATAATAAAACCACACATCAACAATAACTTCATACTAAATGCATAAAAATATTACAATACGATTTAAAAAAAAAAAAAACATTACAACATTTTTTGGTCAAAACAAAGTATTGCATTGATAATTTTCAAGGTCAAATGAGCCTCATCAAAACCTTGTTTGGCCTAACAAGGAAACAAAGAATGAGTACCTCTTATTCGCATAGGGTCTCATTCATCATTATTATCATCATCATGACCATCATCATCTTCAACATCATCTAGTTGGTCACGTTTATCCCACAAATGTGCTACCAGCTTTCTTTTTAGTTCATTATGTTCTCCTTGATTTAATAGATTTCGATGTCAACCAAGAAAACTAACATATTTCATATTATTTATATCCGTTGAAAGTTCAGCTACAAGGACGGTGAACTTTCATAGTCAAGAATGACGTTTAGATGTCCACTACGTTCCTTCTCAATTGTCATATTGTGCATAATAATGCATGCAACAATGACATCATGTAAGTCTTTTTTCTTCCAGAATCGAGCCGCTCCTCTAATAATTGCAACCGAGCTTGAAGAACTCCAAATGCTCGTTCTACATCTTCGCGATACGATTCATGTTTTTGTACGAAATAAGTTTCTTTGGCACATTTGGGTACACGAATGGCTTGTACTAAAGTTGACCATTTAGGATAAATACCGTCAGCTAGATAATAACCGACATCACAATGTCTACCTTTGATTGAATAATTAACTTGTGTAGATGTATCATTGGTTAATGCTTGAAATAGAGTTGATTTTTGTAGGACATTAACATCGTTATTTGTACCTGGAAGGCCGAAGAATGCATGCCATATCCAAGTATCATGCGACGCTACTGCTTCAAGTATGATAGTGCATTTTTTGTTGCATCCGCGCTATGCTCCC